ATGTATGATGATATCGGGCGCACGAGGGCTGTGACTCGTCGGGTCGAACTGGAAATACTAAACCATATAATCAACCTCCTCGTCTTGTACCTCCATATTTTAAAGTCTTTTAATGATTCGATAAGAGAGACGTATTAGTACGTAATGCAATCACGCCATCCACATCATCCTGAGCGGCCCCAATTGTGTTAGTAAAAAAGAGAACGGAACCCTAAGACTGTGCATCGATTATCGTTGACTTAATGAAGTCTCAAAACGCGATTCTTTCTCGTTGCCACGAATACGTTTTGACATATTGGCCGCTCCGAAAAGGTTCTCAGCACTAGAGTTGGCATTTGACTATTGACAGGTCGCAGCACGTGTAGATAATCGACACAAGACGGCTTTTTACTATACCATAGGGTCCATATGGTTTTTATACAATGTCTTTTTTGCTAGCTAGTCTACCTTGCAATACGCATACAACACTGTCTGGGTTTGTGTCACATGTTTGTTCGGTGTATTTGTTTGATGCTATAGTACATGGAGAAACCGTTCATGAACACTTAGGAAATTTGCAACCAGATTTAGAATGCCTTCAGAAAGTTGGATTAAAAGTACAACCACCGAAATATTGCTTTATGAGGTAATAATAATAATAATATATTTCTGCATGTGCAGGTACACACCGTTTTTACAGGCATGATCTATAAATTACAACATTTGTTGGTTCGCAAAATGCTTCCCAACTTATTAAAAAGGACAGTGGTATTTTTCCTCGCTGAGTAAATTTCATTGTTTTGATCGTTTATTACGTATCAAGACTACTGTTTTTCACTTTAATTGAATTTATTTCAGTTAAAGTATTTGACTAAAGTATCGTTTTTACTGTTTTTGTCGTTGGTACTCTTTAGTACCTCTTTTTCAACTGTATCTGTTAGTACTTTTGGTCCTAGCAATCTACAGCTCTTCACTTTTTTGGTCATTGATAATTTTTTTGTTTCTGGGTATCATCGCATATTGAAAAAACCCCTCCTAAATGACCGGACAGTGTAAAAAAAGCAGTTGCCAACGTCCGGGTTGTCGTTATCCTGTTGAAAGCGGCATGCAGTGCGACGAGTGCAAAGGCTGGTACCACGAAGTTTGCACGAACTTAACGCCTGCTGCTTTCAAACGGTTCAGTAAGAAGGGTTGTGTGTGGCTTTGTCAACAGTGCTGCTCGGATGCAAACAGCTTGTTAACCGAGGCCATCTCACTGGTTGATGCTGCAAAGAAGTGTTTCAACAAGCATAGTCGGAACGCGTCAAACAGCACTCGATCTGTTGACACGCAAATCAATGTGAAGGAAACTAAGGTGAGTCCGGTGATAGATGACTCACGCCCGTCAAAGAAGGAAAAGCAGTCTCCAAAGGGGCCTGCCTTAAACAAAAGCTCAAGAAAAGTAGGGTCTTCTGTTCCCCGTCTCCCAGATGGGATCCAACAGGAAACACCTAGGAGCCGCAATCGCAAGGCTCGATCGGTTTCAAATGGTAAACATAACACGACCCCTCAGGTCGTCGACAACCCCCCAAAACCCAACACTAGGTTTGACGCAACTGCTATTGCTTCTACCAGCAGCGTTGACGAATGGGTAAAGGTTGTAAGGAAGAAAAGTATTGATATAAAAGGGAAACCTGCCCCCGTAAAAGTGGTTGAAAAATCGAAAGCTGATCATAGCGACAGATCAGCTATTTTTCATAGAATTAAGGAGAGCGATAGCTCTGAACCTAAAGCTCGTTTTGAGCATGACATTGTACTGATTAGGCAGCTGCTTAATCAACTCATGCCTCAAAATATGACTGGGGTCACCTTGCTAAAGGTGTATAGACTAGGGAGTCTAACGGACTCGAAACCAAATCATTCCAGACTGCTTAAAGTAGTATTCGGCTCTTCAAACGAACGTGACCTAATTTTACAAAATGGACACAAATTAAAGGGTTCAGGAGTCTTTATCCGAAAGGACCTACCGTTGGCAGACCGTGTTAAAAGACGGGAAGCCGAGAAAGAACTACAACATAGGTTAGACGCTGGCGAAAAGGACCTGAAAATTGTAAATTTTCGGGTTGTAAGACTTCGACAGAGAATGATGCCGAAGCCACTCTGGGTGAAGCACGAAGGCACTTAAACAGGCTTCGGATCTGTTACACCAATGCACGAAGCTTACTTAATAAGCGATCGGAACTAGGTGTGCAGATTGACTCTATAAAGCCAGATATAATCGCAGTAACAGAAACCTGGCTGACACAGGCTATAGATAGTATAGAACTTGATTTCGAGGGCTTTACGTTAGTAAGGGCCGACAGAACACAAAAGCGCAAAGGAGGGGGAGTAGCTCTATTCATTAGGAATGCTATCCCATTTACCATTATCGATAGTGTATCCCATGAGAGTGGGACGTGTGAATTAGTTAGTCTTCGCTTAAAATGCAAGGGACAAGAGCTGCTGATTGGTTTGGTCTATCGCAGTCCAAGCTGTGAGGCAAATGAGATCCTGTTAAGCAGTCTCAATACTTGGTCCCAAAGTGGTCGATGTCTAATCCTAGGGGACTTTAATGCACCTATGGTAGACTGGGAAAATCTGCGAACTGAATCGTCAGAAAATTCCTTCGAGCAGGAACTAGTTGATGCGGTTATCACATGTGCCCTAGTGCAACATGTGAAAGAAGCGACTAGGTACGACCCGGACACTGAATCATCCTTATTAGATCTTATACTGACTCACTATGAGGATGATGTTGCGAACCTCCACCATATGCCACCCTTAGGTAAAAGTGACCACGCAGTTTTAACTTTCGACTTCCATATAACTGCCAGTCATGAGGACGCGTCAGTCCAGTCCAGACCCAACGTCTGGAAAGCAAACATACCAGACATCATGCACTCAGCATCGTTAATAGATTGGACAATAGACCCAGAGTCCTCCATTGAAACGGCCTGGGACGCATTTCGAAAATCATACTTAAAAGTTACCACACCTCACATCCCTTGGACTATACCAAAGGGGCCGAAAAACTCACCACCATGGTTCAGTAGGGAGGTCCGTATCCTTCTCCGTAAGAAAAGGAAAACGTGGGATAGATTTAGGTTACTGGGGACTGATGAGTCAAAATCTCAGTATCGAAAGGCTCGGAACACTTGTGCCTCGACCCTCCGTAAGTCTAGAAAATTGTACGAAGAAAAACTTGTTAAGGAATCCATAGAATGTCCTAAACGCTTGTATTCCTATATAAACCAAAGGACAAGGAGAAAAGGAAATATTCCTGCTCTATGGGGAGACAGTACTGCTTCATCATTAGTGGAGGACGACTTTGGTAAGGCTCAAGCGTTCTCGAACTACTTTAGCAACGTGTATACCATAGAAGCACCCTTCTCGTCAGCGTATACAGATCCCCCCATACATACACTGGATAGCGTGACCATTAAAGAACTCGATGTCTTTGGTCTGCTAAATAAGCTTGACATAGGTAAATCCACGGGGCCCGATGAATTACATCCTAGGCTACTGAAGGAATTATCTAACTTCGTTGCGAACCCTTTAAGTACATGCTTTAACCTATCCGTTACGCAGGGTCGCTTACCGAAAGATTGGAAAAACGCCATAGTAAGTCCTGTCTTCAAAACAGGCACGAAACACAAACCTGAGAACTACCGCCCCGTTAGCCTAACTAGTGTGGTTGTTAAAATATTAGAAAAGATTATTCGGAAGGAGCTGTTTAAGTATCTCGATAAAAACCGGATCCTCTCGGAGAAGCAGCATGGCTTCAGAATAGGTTATTCTTGTCTCACTAACTTATTAGTGGCTCGTGAAAGCTGGTGCGCTCTTAAGGACCAAAAGCTACCTGTAGACGTCGCCTTCATTGATTTCAGTAAAGCTTTTGATAAAGTTCCGCACAACCGGCTGTTATATAAGTTAAGACATATCGGGATTGGAGGTAATTTATTGATGTGGATAAAAGACTTCTTAGTTGGGCGTCAACAAAGAGTAAGGGTGAACTCAAAGTTATCTAGCTGGGAAACTGTGCTTAGCGGAGTGCCCCAGGGTACAGTTTTGGGGCCAGTGCTATTCCTCTTGTATGTAAATGACCTTCCTTGTCTCCTATCATCATCGGTCTTGCTATATGCTGACGATGTCAAGATATGGAGAACGATACGATGTAAGAGTGATAGCTTAGAACTTCAAAATGACCTGAAGAAGTTATCTGAATGGTCTCAAACATGGCAGTTGCCGATAAATACTTCCAAGTGTGTTGTGATGCATATCGGTCATCAAGGCACAGATACATACACGATGAATAACACTGAGCTACCTGTCGTCCAGACATATAATGACTTAGGAGTTATCGTTAGTCAAGACTTAAAGACTACTGCACACTGCCGTGCAATAGCCGCCAAAAGTTTTAGAACGTTATGGTCAATACGTAGGGCTTTTAGTCATGTCGACACTAAGACGTTTTTGACTTTGTATACAGTGTTCGTTCGTCCTAAACTTGAGTACTGCATACAGGCGGCTAGCCCCTGCTTAAAAAAGACAGTGAGCTTCTGGAAAAGGTTCAGAGAACGGCGACTAAGCTGGTTCCCGCAATAGCGAAGCTTCCGTATGAATCTCGACTGGCCAAGCTGAACCTTTTCCCGTTGTCATATCGCAGAACTAGAGGCGACTTGATTACAGTCTACAAATTGCTTAGTGATAAATTTGCACCTAACATGCCCTCATTTTTCTTGTCTTCCAAAACAGAGAATTTACGAGGACACTCCAAAAAAGTTCATAAGCCGAGAACAAATTACTTGTCAGCTGACTATCGACTTTCCCATCGAATCATCAACGAGTGGAATTCACTACCTCAGCACGTCGTTGAGGCTCCATCCGTCGACTCTTTCAAAAGAAAGTTGGATCAACTGAGAGACCACCATTGCCAGGACTAACATAGGCCATCGAGCCTCCTGTCCTTCCCAAACTGAAACTGAAACTGAAACTGAAATAAGGTGAAATCGTAGAGCGCTTGCTGTAAACTATGACCTTGAGAGGACGCGTACGTTAAGTTTGCTCCAAACGTCAGAAGTTTCATAGCTGTGCTCTCAGAGCAAGATTCTGAAGGAGAAAAAAAAAAGAAACAGAGGAGCAGCAAGGCACTTGGATATGAACGCCAAAGGTTGCTTAACATTGTGTAGTAGAACGGACAGAGGTATAATAAATTAGAATAAATTCATATTATGTCTTGTTAGAGTGAAGTGAAGTCAGAGGCTCCATATTAGAGAATGTACTAATAAAGAACAACGAGTTGTGATGTTTAACAAGTTGGAGTAAGCTCACATGAAGGAAGGGAAGTCAAGGTTGGTACAAGGGAAGCGGTTTATTAGAAGGGTGTGTATATAGAGGGTGAAGTGTTAAGAATACTAGTGACTATATCTTTTATTGTCTTTTTTCTTTTCTTTTTTTGTCCATCCGATGTCAGCCACGCAATCCTAGTGTAAAAGTCCGAGTTAGCATGTTATAGGTTGTCTTAGTAGAATAGCTAATCCAGCATATTATTGGAAACATGAGTCTGAGTGGTGAGCGTAGGAAGACAATCTATATCTTAGATTGACTGTCTTATTCTCAATTATAAAGAGCCTGATACATACAAAATGTTCTGTCCCCACAAACACGGGTGGATTGAAGTTATCGCCCTCACCATCAATGCTTGCTGGTCAGTAACTCCACCCTCCCTCCTTTTGTGATGTTAGGCTCATTTAAGCTTATTTTTGTATATACGTCATACCTCACACAATCCTCTGTTTCACAACTTGTTGGAAAGCACTATTTCTATAAGTACCATTTTACAAGCTTATCAGGCAGTTACAAGCTGTGGACTGTGGGTAAAGCATCGATGCAGTGCCTCTGTTGACTATAGTATAAAGTATAGTTTGCCAAACAGAGTATAAGCGTTAAGAAGGGTATATTGTAGGATAGTTGTTTATTTAAGCAGGCGGAAAAAGTATAGAAGTATGAGTTGTGGATAAGGGAACGAGTGGAGAAATAATATTAATTGCTAGTCAACATAGTGTACAGAAGAGTAAAAAGTTAATATAGGATAAACAGGAAGGAACTCACAGTAACTTGGTGCTGATGTTATTTTCTGTTGTCTTAACCAGTTGATTGGTAACAGGTTCCATAGATGCAAGACCACTGGTAGTAGGCAGCCGATTGTGGGGTCCTCTTGACTTTTTAGGGTGGTAGTGAGTGTCCCTTATCGACCGAGTTTAGTTTAACAGTAATGATAGGTCCAGTGAGTTACCTGTCTACTTCAAGTGAAGAAATGGGGTGGAAAAAGTAATTAATACAACTGCAAAGTAGGAAAAATAAGGCAAACTGAACTTGAAGTCCATTTTGGTCTAGACATGGAGAGAGCCTATGATGTCTGAGTGGGGTGCAGATGTGTTCGTACGTGCAAGATCAGTGCGAGTGAGGGCTTGATCAAGCAGTTTCACAAACGTATGTAGTTCATCTGCCATGCGAGTCTCGGAAGGAAGACTGTTCCATATTATTGCATACTTGGTGAGGAAGAAGTTTTCCCGAGTTTTTGATCTGTATTTCTCAACTTTGACCGTAGATACTTTGTTTCGAAGTTCGTATTCATGTGAATCTCGGGCAAGAATTATCTGACATGTTGAGTAAGTAAGGTTTTTGAGTAGTTTGAAGTAGAGAATCAAATTAGACCTAAGCCTTCTCTCCCAAAGGGGTGCTATTCCTAAGATTTGGCATCGAGAACTGTAGTCAATGACCGAGTCAGTCTTAAGTACTTTGCGGGTGAAGTCTCGTTGTATTCCTTCCACCTTTAGTATATCAGATAGACGTAGGTTGGAAAATAAGAACGAGCAGTATTCAACGATAGGTCTTACACAAACTTTGTAAAGAAGGATTTTAGATTCATTTTGATAGAAATTACGGAGAATGAAGCCAAGCAATTTCCGCATTTTGGATGCTTTGGCTGAGATGTGTTCAGAGAAATTAAGACTGTGTGAATAATGTACCCCTAGGTCAGTTACTGATGCCAGTCTGGGGAGTGTGTGATCGCTAATTGTTAGTTTCATTTTAAGAGACGTGTCTCCTATACATAACCAGCCGCATTTCTCTATGTTGAGCTCTAACCTCCAGCGTTTGCACCAGTCATCTACCATGTTGAGTTCATGTTGGATTGTTTGCATAGTACTGCGTAAATCGCAAATGTCAGTTTTATAGATGACTTTTAAGTCATCGGCATAGAGGTAGGTCTTACCTGTGCTGAAACACCTGCATATATTGTTGATGTAGATTATAAAGAGCAATGGACCCAAGACACTACCCTGCACAACACCACTGGTTATCGGTCGAGGTGTAGATGTATTAGAGTTAATCTTGGTTATTTGATATCTGTTCGTAAGAAAAGACTTGATCCATTGCAAAAGGGGATTTATAATTCCAACTGACTTCAGTCTGTTGATTAGAAGATTATGAGGTACTTTATCAAAGGCTTTCTTAATATCGAAGTATAGTATAATAACTAGTTTCTTCTGGTCACGCATACGAGTAACCTCGTTAAAGAAGTCTATCAGGCATGTACTGCACGACCTTGTTCTAATGAAGCCGTGTTGTGACGGGTCTATTAGATCTTCCTTGAGTAGGTGATCAGATAGTTGATTTTGTATCACTTTTTCCATTATGCGTGATATGACTGGAGTGATATTTATAGGTCTGTAGTTTTCTACCAGGTTTCTCGGTCCGGATTTGTGTTTGGGAAGAACATACGTTACCTTCCAGGTTTCCGGATATGTACCTGTCTCTAAAGATAATGTGTATATTTTGAGTAGTAGCGTCTGTATGTCCGGCCCTGACATTTTATAAACGATTGAAGGGATGTCATCGGCACCAGAACTCGCATTTGGCTTAAGGGTTTTAATGGCGGTATGTATACTCCTAATGTCGAAGTTTATGGTACTAAGATAGTTTTTGCCGGTGCACTTTATGTCGATATCTGGGGCATCAGATGTATTCCCATTGTGAGAAAACCATTCACTTAATAGTTCACATATGACGGTTTGGTCATTATACGTTACTCCATCGTGCAGTAAGGAGTGAATGTTGTTGTCTGTGTTCTTTCTTATGCGTTTCGTGAGGAGACGACATAGGGCTTGGGCTTTAGATGCAGCAGCGAGCGCAGTACGTTCCTCTAACTGTTTATGCTTGTTGTGTTGACTTTGTACTCCGTCAAGTACAGAGTATATCTGGTGCAGGGCACTGAAGTCTTTTGATATATAGTACATCCTTTTCAGTTTTCTCAGTTTAGACCTAGTCTTTTGGTTTATATAGGGAGTAACTGTTTTAAAACCAATTTTAGAGGGTATAGTAGTGTCTAGTGCAGATTTGGTGGTGATATTGAATATTTCTAATGTTTCTAAGAGGTTATTACTGGTAAAGAAACTGCCCCAGTCAGAGTGCTTTATTAGAAATCGAAAGTTTTCCCAGTCAGCGTTTGCATAGTCTCTATATTGGAATCGCGTTTTTAATGTCTTTAATTTGTTGCATATGGCAAGAATCGGAAGGGTGCAGAGGACTATTTTATGATCGCTGTTGTGAAACTTTTCGCTAACCACCATTGATGTTGGTGTGACACTATGACAGAATATCAAGTCAAGAATGTTGTGATTTCGTGTAGGCAGGTGTACATGTTGTTGCCAGCCGTGTATGTCTAAGGACCTAAGTATGCTTTCAAAGCACAATGGGCCAGAATGTGTCTTCCAGTTGATGGTGGGAAGGTTGAAATCACCACATACAATTTTGTATGTGAAGTCAAGCGAGGCAGCCTGAGCAAATGACTCACTTATAATAGTGTCAGTTGAACTAGGAGTGTTAGGAGCTCGATATATGCATCCGATTAGTATTTTACATTCATGAGTGTGCACAGTAAGCCATATCGATTCAGGAAGTTTGCTGAGGACGTGGTCGCTATAGGTTTCCGCTCTCAAATTTTTTGATACATAAACGAGACAACCACCACCCTTCTTGGTGACTCGATCACAGCGGAAGAGCTCATAGGTGTCTATTTGTAGAAATGTGTCTGTGGTATCGGAGGACAGCCAACTTTCCGTTATCAAAACAAGTGAGGGGTTGTTTAAAAGCAATAGGGTGCGTAGGTAAGTCATCTTACTTTGTACAGATCGAGCGTTGATTAACATAAGTGTCAGGTACGGTGACTGTTTGTCTAGTAGAAGGGTATGATGTAAACCGAGTGGTTTGTCTGTTTTGCCATGAGAAAAGGAAGAATTGGGAGCGTTGACTCCATATTGATGAGTGTTTAGTTTATTACCAGTAGGGTTAATGCAAGAAGGGTAGTCGGGTGTGGTTTTGGTGAAAGAAGTATGTCTAAGAGTGGAAGGTAGAGTCGAATGATTAGGTAATGTGTCCGGGGAATGATCAGGGGGTTCAGTCAAGGAGTTTTCAAGACTAGAGACAGTTATCGAAGTTGAGTAGGATGTGCTACTCCCCATTAAATCGGAGTATATAGATGGTTTCAGAATAGTGGGATTGTCGCCCTCAACATTTGGAGACCCCATAGCAGTAATGTTGAGGGGGAGAGAGATAAAAAAGGATGAGATAGTGTGCATGTCGAATTAGGGGGGACTAAACCGTTGTATTGGGTGGCTTGACTTAGATAGTACCTAGAATCTGTAGGTGGGTTCCCAAGTAGGCCAGCGTTATGGCTTCCTCGTGTGCGGTGGGCAATTTTAGTCCTATTGTGGTTAGTTGGGGAGGTTGTATGTTTCTGGTAAGGGATGAAGGAATGCCTGTTATTGTTGCCAGGAGAGGTGTTTCTGTTGTGTATAGTTTTGTGTTGGTTCATGGGGCTTACAAGGTTGACACCATATGACTTATGGGTATCACGTGTGGGTGTGGTTCTTGTCGAGTGTCGTTTCACATTAGGATGAGTGGGTGTTGCCAGTTCACTATGTTTGTTGTAGGGCATTCTATTACTATGAGAAGGTGCATGTTTTGGGTTAGGGGTGCTGGAGTATTGGTGGGTTTTTACGGAGAGTTTGGTATTATTTCGCACAGCGGTGTCTGCGGGTCTGTAGCTGTTAGCGCGATCCCTGGGAGGATCATTTTTAGGCATTTTATAAGGGCCGCTAGGGTAATACTTGGACGCTATTGAGGCATAAGTGGTTTGGCATTTTGGGGTAGCTGAGTGTCTGGGCTGAGGGTGAGTGGTTGTAGCTGCTTTATGTGCGGTCTTGTCCTTAGGACTAATAGCAGTGTCCGACGTGCCTCCGTTTTTTGGGGGGGCAGTGTATGATATTTTAGGGTTTGTGCAGTGACAAGAGCTGTAGCTGCCACGGCTACGTAAGCTGGGTTGATCAGTTTGTGTTCCATTGCAGATTCGACGCTGGATAGCGGTCCTGTCATGAATGATCCTAATCTTTTTAAATGTTGGAATACGCCTCAGTAATGACTGACTATTGAGGAGGTGATTAGCTTCAGTGGTGCTACCAAACTGAAATAGAATGGGACAGGAGGCTTTAGTGTGTGCCTTACGTAATCTTCTTGTTACACACCAAGATTGCGACAATCCACATTCTTGTAGCAGAGTATTTTTAGCAATCTTTATGTTCGTACTATCAGGTATATTATACACAATAACATTCTGCATACACTGAAGTCTTTTCAACACTTCAGATGATATATGGTCAATTACTTTTTCAGTGTTTTTTATAATTTCCAGATCGGGATTTTCTGGAACACTGATTAAATATTTGTAAGGTAATAGGTCTTGAATAGTTTGGGTGAGGCTAAGTTCTGTTTGGCTGCTTTTAGGTCTACCAGTGGTGAGATTATCGGAGTTTATATCAAAGTTTCTAAGGTCGATATGGTTACATACAGGCCTGTTGCAGGTGTCTAGCGGATGTTCACTTTGTGCACACTTAGTTGGGGGATGGGGTATATGTCTGGGTGAGTAGTCAAGATCTACATCACCGGGCTGGCTATTGTAGGCAGGCTTACATGTACTCCGTGGGCCGCTACTCAGGATGGCCGATTGTGAGATTGCTGGGTGTTTGGGATCAACAGCACTGTCTAAATACTGCTCACAACATGTGGTGTTTTTGTTTGGACTGACAAATGATGTCGACTCTAACGGTATGTGACTGCTCTTATTTATATCGACAAGCGAGATGCAAGGTAGTGATATGTCTTGTCCAAGTAAACGGTGCACGTTTAGTGTGGCTGAGGGAAGATCAGAGTAGGATGCAGACTGATCAGTGTGTTTATAAGGTTTCACATTATTCGCTTTAGTGACTGATTTAGATCTTTTGCAGGTGCTATAGGCATCAGGAGAGATTATATGTTTTTTAGATGGCCTGGACATTATCGGAAGTAATGTAAATACAAAGTTTAATTAGGTGGACAGCGATAGTTGTAATTTAACTTAGTGAACGTGTGAAGTTTTATGGTAGGATCAGACCCAGTATTAGTTAAGAGTAAATATATTAACGTTAATTGGTGATAGAGATAGCGTGAGAATTAGCAAGATTAATTTATGACGTTGAGTTCCTAAATAAGGTGTCAAGTTGATAGAACCCTATCAGTGACGAATTATTTATCGCTATTAAGTGTTAAATTAAAGAGAAAAACTAATAGGAAAATAAAATAATACCACGTGAAAAACAGTTACAACCTTCAAAAGCGCCCCAACCCTATAGTCTGGAAATACTAAACCATATAATCACCTCCTCGTCTTGTACCTCCATATTTTAAAGAGTCTTTTAATGATTCGATAAGAGAGACGTATTAGTACGTAATGCAATCACGCCATCCACATCATCCTGAGCGGCCCCAATTGTGTTAGTAAAAAAGAGAACGGAACCCTAAGACTGTGCATCGATTATCGTTGACTTAATGAAGTCTCAAAACGCGATTCTTTCTCGTTGCCACGAATACGTTTTGACATATTGGCCGCTCCGAAAAGGTTCTCAGCACTAGAGTTGGCATTTGACTATTGACAGGTCGCAGCACGTGTAAATAATCGACACAAGACGGCTTTTTACTATACCATAGGGTCCATATGGTTTTTATACAATGTCTTTTTTGCTAGCTAGTCTACCTTGCAATACGCATACAACACTGTCTGGGTTTGTGTCACATGTTTGTTCGGTGTATTTGTTTGATGCTATAGTACATGGAGAAACCGTTCATGAACACTTAGGAAATTTGCAACCAGATTTAGAATGCCTTCAGAAAGTTGGATTAAAAGTACAACCACCGAAATATTGCTTTATGAGGTAGCAAGTTAAGTTTGTAGATCATGTAGTTGATGACCAGGGAATACACCGTAACATAAAAAATGTTGTTGGTACTCTAATCTGGGTTGTTCCACAAAATACTAATGAACTCCGCAGCTCCTAGGGCTAACAACTTATTACAGAATGTTCAAACAGGGATTCTCGAGGACCGCAATTTCCCTTCATACCTCGTTAGGTAAGGAAGCTAACTTTGAATATTTTGAAAGGTGCTAGCAATCTTTTGACCGGTCGAAGAAGTTGTTGCGTTTGACTCCAATTACTGTTGCAGTTACACTAGAAAGATTCCAATAGCAAGTCATGGACTCAGTGGTAGGACTCAAATTCACTCGCTGCACGTGACTTTTAGAGTCTCTGAGTATGTATCCTTTAGAACGTAAGTGACTGCGAGATCTTACAATGAACTACATTATCTTGAATATCCCTCGGTATCCTCTAAAAGACTTAGTTCATTTAAGCCACAACATGGAATTTTGGGAAAATTGTTATGTATGTATTCAATAATGATTCCTTTAGGCATATCCATATTCACTGAAGAAGATGAAGGATCCACGAATTCTCCCAGAAGTCGAAGTATCGTTCAGTAAACCAGTTGGGCTGTAGTTTATCCAATATCAGCTTGTGCTGCACTGCGAATACCTAGTAAGACGAGTGGACAGGCGTCCGTCCACTGTGAAACGTTTACAGCTGGTAGGGAAACGTTTAGCTGTCGGTGAATGCGTTCTACCAGCCTGTATGCTTGTGAGTGGTAGGCGGTCGTTCGGAAGTGAGTGATTCCTAATAGTG